TGGTCCCCTGTGTCCCCCCAGGTCACCTGTGCCCCCCCCCGCCCAGGTCACCTGTCCGTGTGTGTCCCCAGGTGTGTGTGTGTGTCCCCCCCCCCAGCACAAAGGGGGGTGTCACCTGTCTGTGTGTCCCCCCCCCCCAAGGAGCCGGGACTGCCAAATTGTGTGGGGGGGGTCTCCCTTATTGGGGTCTGTGCTGGGGAGGGGACAGGTGTGTGTGACCTGGGGTGGGGGGGGAACCCCAGAGAGGGGTGGGGGGGACACGGAGCTCCCCCCCCCTCCCAGGGCTTCGCTCCGGCTTCGCTCCAAAGGGGAAACTGAGGCACAGTTTGGTGACCCCCCCCTCCCCCGCCGTGTCCCATGGAGTGGGGTGGGGGGGGTCACCAGGAGCGGCCCCCATCCCGCTCAGCCTCGGGGGGGGGGTCCGGGGGGAGTCCCCAGGTGTCCCCAGGTGTCCCCAGGTGTCCCCATTGCCCCCCCCCCCCCCAGGTCTCCTGACGTTTGGTCAAGTGCCTTACCCGCCCCTCCCCCTGGGCTCCCTGCGCGTCTCCGCTGCCCCCCCCCACCCCCCCCCCCCCCCCCCCCCCCAGCTGGGGGATTTCCCGGAATTTGGGGCTCCCCGGACTGGGGGATCCCGCCCCATTTCCCTTGGAGGTCTCCCCATGTCCCCCCAGTCCCCAGATCAGGTTTGGGTCCTCCTTCCTCCCCCAAATGGGGGGAGTATTTCTGTTTCTCCCCCTCAGAATTCTGGGGCTCCCTTGTCCTTTACACCCCGGAGAGTCCCAGGGCTGGGGACCCCTCAGAGCCCCCCCGGCCTTGGCAGGGACCCCCTGGCCTGGCCCCCCCCCCTGTTCTAGGAGGATTAGAGGGGAGGAATTGGGGTGACCCCGGGTTGGGAGCTTTGTTTGACCCTTGTCTTTTCTCTGTCCCCTCCTGTCCTTTCCCTCACCGTGTCCCTGCTCTGCTCTGTCCCCCCTGTACCCCCCTCCATGTCCCTGCCCTATTCCTGGTGTCCGTGTCCCCCTGATTCCTCGTGTCCTCCTTCCCTGTCCCGCTGTCCCCACATCCCCCTGTGTCCCCCCGTGTCCTGTCCCCCCATTCCCCGTCCCCTCGCTGTCCCCCCGTGGTGTCCCCGTCCCCGCAGGCCCCCCCCGGCCCCCGCCATGGCGCAGACGCTGCAGATGGAGATCCCCAACTTCGGGAACAGCATCCTGGAGTGCCTGAACGAGCAGCGCCTGCAGGGGCTCTTCTGCGACGTCTCCGTGGTGGTCAAGGGCCACGCCTTCAAAGCCCACCGGGCCGTGCTGGCCGCCAGCAGCTCCTACTTCCGAGACCTGTTCCACAGCTCCAAGAGCGCCGTGGTGGAGCTGCCGGCGGCCGTGCAGCCCCAATCCTTCCAGCAGATCCTCAGCTTTTGCTACACCGGCCGCCTCAGCATGAACGTGGGCGACCAGTTCCTGCTCATGTACACGGCCGGCTTCCTGCAGATCCAGGAGATCATGGAGAAGGGCACCGAGTTTTTCCTCAAGGTCAGCTCGCCCAGCTGCGACTCGCAGGGGCTGCACGGCGACGACACGCCGGGCTCGGAGCCGCAGAGCCCGGTGGCCCAGACCTCGGCGGCGCAGGGCTGGGCGGCCGCTCTGCCGCTGGTGTCGCGGGTCAAGACGGAGCAGGGCGAGCCCGACGGCGTGCAGTGCACCTTCGTGGTCAAACGCCTCTGGGACGGGGCCCCCAAGGACAGCGGCGGCAACGGCAGCCGCAAAATGGCCAAATTCTCCGAGGCGGCGCCGCGCCCGCCGCAGCCGCCCGGCAACGCCAACGCCGCCGCGGCCACCGCGGCCACCGCGGCCACCCCCGCGCCCGCCCCCGCGCCCGGCGCCGACCAGACCAGCCCCGGAGGAACCTCCAGCGCCTACACCAGCGACAGCCCCGGCTCTTTCCACAACGAGGAGGATGAGGAGGAGGACGCGGGCGAGGAAGGCTCGGACGAGCAGTACCGGCAGATCTGCAACATGTACACCATGTACAGCATGATGAACGTGGGGCCCGCAGGTGAGGCCCGGTGGCGTTTGGGGACAGGTGTGTGGCTCACGCGAGGCCCCCGCACCCTTTGGGGCACGGTCAGGGTGTGTGGGCGTGGACTGCTGGGGCTCCGTGCCCCCCCCTTTTCCAGTGTCACCCCCCCATGTTTGAAGGTGGGACGCCCCCCCTCACCACCGCAGTGTCCCTTTCCTGTCCCCCGTGACCCCTCAGGGGTGGCTCCAAGCCTCCTGTAACCCCCAAAAGAGCCCTCCCTGGGGCCTTCCCTGAGACCCCCGTGCCCCCCCAGCCGCGGAGAAGGTGGAGGCCCTGCCCGAGCAGCCTCCCCCGGAGCCCCGTGCCCGCGCCCGCCTGCGCCAGGACCTGGCGTCGCTGCCGGCCGAGCTCGTCACCCAGATCGGGAACCGCTGCCACCCCAAGCTCTACGACGAGGGCGACCCCGCCGAGAAACTGGAGCTCGTCACCGGTACTGGGCCGGGCACTGGGGGGGTTCCAGCGGGGTTTTGGGGACCCTGCTGACCCCTCTCGTGCCCCCCTTCCCTTCCCAGGCACCAACGTGTACATCACACGGGCGCAGCTCATGAACTGCCACGTCAGCGCGGGCACACGGCACAAGGTGCTGCTGCGCCGCCTCCTCGCCTCCTTCTTCGACCGGTGAGCGCCCCCGAGGGCTCCTCCACCCCGATTTGGGGGGTCTGGAAGGGTTTTTGGGGGCGGGGGGAGGTTCAGCACGGGTTTTGTTCCCTCCCAGGAACACGCTGGCCAACAGCTGCGGGACCGGGATCCGCTCGTCCACCAACGACCCCAGCAGGAAACCGCTGGACAGCCGGGTGCTGCACGCGGTCAAGTGTGAGTGGGGGGCACGGGGGGCACCCCTGGGGGTCTTGGGGGGGTTCTGGAAGGGGCAGAAGGGGCTCAGCATTAGAGGGAGAGGGGACAGTGGGAAATGGGGAGGGGGGGGGACCGCAGAGAGGGGACGAGACCGGGCAGGAGCGGAGACCCCACCGAAGCTCCCCACCCCAAAACACCTCACCCAAACCTCTCCCCGTGACCCCCACCACGCTCGGGGTGCCCCAGGCCCTCCCCACGCCTCAACCCTGTCCTCACACGTGTGTCCCCTCCCAGTTTACTGCCAGAACTTCGCGCCCAACTTCAAGGAGAGCGAGATGAACGCCATCGCGGCCGACATGTGCACCAACGCGCGGCGCGTGGTGCGCAAGAGCTGGATCCCCAAGCTGAAGCTGCTCATGGCCGAGGGCGACTCCTACACCTCCTTCATCAACGACACCGGCAAGCTGGAGCCCGACATCATGGGCCCCGAGCCCCCCTTCGAGGCGGGGGGTCCCGAGCCCGAGGGGGGCCCCGCAGGGGAGGGGCTGCAGTGACCCCCCC